TCGACCCCCTGAGAGTCCAACAATGTAACCCCTACACCATCAGCTGGTCCCCGTATTATATATTTTTAAAAGGCTGATATTCTTTTTTTTTTTTTCTGTAGGGCATGTGTGCTCCCTGGAGAGAGACAAAGAAGGAGGGAGGGTATGTGTGTGTGTGTGTGTGTGTTAGAGAGAGAAAAAGACAGAGAGAGAGGGAGAGAAAGAAAGAGAACCCCCTAATAGGGATGGCCACACTGCAGCCCCTTCTCCTCCACTCTTCTCTTGGGATTTTCAGCATGCCTACATACACAAGCCCACCATATTTTTCAAGCCACCAGGTCTAGTACTCAAACAGCACAGTTGGCTATGTAGGATCTAGTTGCCTTAACCACCATGACACTGGCTGGTCCAAAAAGATTTTTATTCTGATTACATGAAGTATGAATCAAATGTCAAAAGTCAACATTTTATGATATTATTTTGATCTCAGAATATGACAAGTATTACTTGTGTGATGATTGGGATTTGAAAGATAATGCACAAACTGGAGTACTTACCAAATTGTATATGTAAACTGCTTGTTCTTGTGTTGTATTCTCAAAATGAAAAAAAAAAAAAGCAAAGCCATGGCATGAATGTTTTATGTTTACAGGATTGTAAGCTTTGCTGGTAAGCCTCAGAACCTCTCTCACATAGAACTCTGGTCAACCCCTAGCAATTGGTTAGGTGGCATGTATGATAAAAATCCACTTGTCATCCGACCAAAGGATTGTAAGAACAATGACAATTTCCAATACAAGTATGAATCAAAATCAGATTTCATAAGAGAAAACATCAACTTACAGATAACCTCAGGAACACCAACTATATCGTTACACAGCTATTGTGATGAAGTGTAAAGAAATATCGTACAATACAATTGATAAACTTTATAAAAAGAGTTATATTTCTATTTTAGTTTTCCATTTTGTTTAAATCACTTAAGAAAGAAATGTCAAAAGATATGATTTATGATTTACACATTAAGAACAACAGGGAGGCTTTTCTGGAGCAAACTTTGGGCCCAATATAAGCAAAGGTAGCCATCAGTTGGGATAGTGGAAGGAACTACCTCGCAAAGGAGCAAAGAAGTTTATTATCCGTGAAACTTGCATTTGGATGCAGAATGATCAATTGATTGTGATGTAGTCATGTAGAGAACAGCTCTGAGTGAAACGCTGGACAGATGACTTTTAAGGTCACTTCTAATGCTAACACGCTGGGTGGGCCATATGGTGGAACGTCTTGCCAGATTATACCCTATGCATTACTCCAGATAAATGGGGTAATGTTTTAAACGTTGTTTTCCCACGAAACTTACTACTACTTACCTCTGCAACTTTGAGAAATTCAGATACTCGCGTCATTCTAGTTAGAAAGCGTTTGTAAATTTCTAGAGCATCTTTACATTGTCCTTTCTTCATTTCAAAAAACTTTTCTATAAGAAACAAAGAAAAGCAACTTGAAAAGAATATTGTATTTGGTTCCATCTGAGCTTATATTAAGATTGCTAATTAAAACTTAACGTTTAAATCCAAATATTTGACACTAACTCCTATATGAGATATTTAAATATCTAAACAAATTACTACAATTTTTATTTTATTATTATTTTTTAGGTTCTTGCTATAGGGTACATATATTTGCTGGAGAGACAGAAACAGAGATAGAGAAAGTGAGAAATCACCCCTCGGGGGAGGGGGATATGCCCATGCTGCAATTTCTTCTCCTTTTGGAGTGTTGGGTACACATACACATATGTCTGATGCAGTTTTGAAGATGCCACATCAAGGACTTGAACCACAGTCAGACACACGGGAGTCCAGTACTTTAACCATTATGCCATCTGCTGGCCCCAAATGAATACAATTTAATGAATCAATGTAAAGAATAACAACAGAATTAAAGTGGGAGACTATATGAATTGTAATGACAGGTTAAATTGATGATCCATATATCCCAGTATTGTGTTTTGGGATATAGCAGCAAATTCTTCCTGATAACAATCTCAAAGTTATAACTGTGTTCTACAGCATCCTCAGTTCCTCACCAGCTGTTATAAACCAATAACTGAATATTATGAGAGGTTTTTTTTTTTCCACTATAGGACGCGTGCGCTCGCCAGAGAGAGACAGAGAGACAGAAAGCGAGAAATCACCCCCCGGGGGAATAACTAAATATTATGAAGCAATAATCTACAACCTTTGCTGAATTAAAAAATTCTTTACACTTTCTACATTCTGCATAAGCTGACATGTGTTTTTAGTAGTCATAAATTATTTTTCTCAAATATTACAATGCATCTTTTAGTTATAAAATAGAGTTTTGTGAAAAATACTTGGCTAATCAAATACATTATCACTTTCTAGTCTGTAATCATACCCTCTTCCTCAGCCTTTAGCTTTCTGGATAGAAAAACAGAGGATCGCTTCGCTGTTGTCTTCTGGACTACCTTGACTGGAGTTCAGTTATACGGCTCTATAACTCCATAACAATTAGAACATTTCCCCCATACTGGTTTTTTTAGTATATTTTATTTTATTTTAATTTCTTTTATACATTCAATCCCATACATCACTTATATTATAAAGTGAATGTTCCAAATGAATGTATTTCACATTATCCAGTTGGGGTTCCATACACGTTATCTTCCCATACTTGTTTTAAAGAAAAACCCATACTTCATCAGTGCTCTCACTAGTCATCATCAGTCATTCAGCCAGTGACTAGTGACATTTTGCAGGTGGAGAAACAGTAGACCAATGTCTGTAACGGTTCCTGGGTAGCTCTGGATCATAACTGAGGCTCCGGCATCGTCTTTGTAAGTTCATTATTTCGTATTTGCACATGGTTTAACACACACTATATTTTCAGACTCATATTTGAGAGTTCTTTATTTTAGTCACATGTAATTTTACCACCTCACAAGTATTTTTAATTTTCTTAAGAAAAGTTGAATAATATATAATTATAAAGAGAACTAATTACTGAGGGCAGCTACTCATTACCTTCTGTTGACAGTCTTTGGGAATTTTACTTTTAACACAGACCTCCCCTGTAGGGTATTTAAGAGACTGTAAAACAAACACATACCGTTCTCTTCTTGTTAAGTATTGAGAAAATGAGTCTTTTTTAAAATGGCCAAATCTAGGGATACTTTATCTATTCTATGCTTTTTTCTAAAGTATCCCAAATCTAGGAATACTTTACCTACTCTATGCTTTTTTCTAATACTATAGGTATAATTATTGTGCTAATAAATAAATAAATCAGTTTTAGTCTTAAAAATGTGGAAATAAGCACTTATTCTGTAAAACATACCTTAAAAAAATTTAAAGAAAAGTTTGCTGGGGCCAACAAGTGGTGTGGTGGTGAAGGGTGCTGGACTCCCACATGGCCGACCATGATTTGAGTCCTGGATCTGGTCGCTTGCTTTCTCCCTTTTCCCCTCCTCTCCTCCCCTCACCTCACCTCTCTCTCCCTCCCTCCCTTTCTACTCAAATTAAATAAGTAAAAGTTAAATAATTAAAAAAAAATATTTGCCAGAGAGCAGGTGCACATGGAGGAGAGAGAGAGTGGGAGAGTGAAAATAAGAAAGCATCTCCCATGGGGAATGGTCACACAGAAATCCCTTCTCCTCCATTTCTCCCTCCTTTTGGGATTTTGGGCATGCATGTATATGTACCCAACCTGCATCTCAAGTTCGGGGATCTGGGACTTGAACCACGCAGTTGGCCATATGGAACTCAGCTGCCTTAATCCCATGCCCACCTTTCTCTTTAAATGATGTTTCTAAATATCTAAATTACTTCTCTTTTAATGAGTTTTTTTTCTTTGAAATGAGATCTTCATCAAAAAGAGAAAATCAAGCTAAATAATCTCACGAATTCATCAATGCAACACAATTTTAAGCTATTTGTATTGTCATGGTAATTTGGGATTCAGAAACAAAAGACATTCAATCTTTATGGCTTTAGGTTATAATTTCACGATTGTTTCTATAATAGTGGTAGTGACACAGAAAGGCAACATGTACTATTTTACTGATAGATAAAAAGCTGTGAAATGTCCTTTCCCCTTTGAGACCAAGGCAGGGTCTAAAGAAATGAACACTTTTCTAGAAGGAGATTCAAGGTCTAAAAATAAACCTTACCTTTCCCTGTAACTAAACATAGCCAATGTTGATTTTCAGTATTTGAAAAGATCAAATCTGACATCTGTAACATGAATCTTTGCTGTGATAAATCTTCCTTTACTTATTACTAGTACTGCAGTGCCCTGTATCCACAGTTTCACTTTTTCAGATTTTAGTTACCCCTGGTCAAGTGCAGTCTGAACACATAAAATGGAAAGATCTGGGAATAAACAATTTGTACATTTTAAATTGGCCATCATTCTGACCATCATGATGAAATCTCACACCTTCCTGTTCCATCCTGTCCAGGACCCCAATCATAGGCACGCTGCATCTGCCTCCCTGACATTGGTCACTGAACATCCATCTTTATTTTCAGGGAGATTACTATGATATCACAGTGCTTGTGCTCAAGTAACCACTATTTTACTTAAAAATGACTCCAGGGCTGCAGCCTTTGGGCATGGTGAAGGGAGAGTGTGGTAAAGTGTCTTAAAGTAGAGAATGAAGAAAGTGGTCAGACCTTTTCAGAGAAACCAGCATCTTCAATTGAAGAAAATTGTTTGGAATTTCAAGAAAGTTTTAAATGCATAGTGAATTTGAAGAAAATGCACATTTGAAAAATGCTTTCAAGAATATCAGTGTATGAGAATCTAAAGAATCTAAATCACTTGATACAGATGCTCTCCAAAATAATTTTTTCAAGGAGAGTTATCCTAAATAAGCATTAGGTGAAGAAAAAGAAAAATTGGTGAAGCAGGCTCAGGAGAAAGAAGACCTTCTTCAGGGGCTAAAACTAGTCAAAATGCATAGATCAAAGAATGACCTGTCTCAGTCACAGTTGTTAATAAGGAAGAGGAGAAGCTGTAGCCAGCTGTTGCTTTATGAGTTGCAGTCAGCTATGTCTGAGAGAACAAGAAGCTAAGGCTTACTCAACTCTAGACCCTTACTGGTTAGAGGATAAGTTGCTATACTGTAACAGAAGTGAAAGAGAATTTATAAGTATTTAATTCCTAAGTTTTTCTACAAAATATCTTTGAGAATGACAACTTAGTTAAGAGGTACACATTTTAGAGGGAGGATAACCATTAGGGCTCAAAGAAAGGTAAGCTGATGGGCATGATTTTAGAGTGCACCTATGTAAGGTGCACTCTAACAGGGAAACAATATTTTGGATAGATTTGCCAAAAAAAACCCTTGACATTTAAAGAAATGTAAGCAAAAAGTTAATTGTGTTTCAAAAGCTATTTGGACAATTCTGGAAACCAGTTTTAATATGCTACTTTGTTTTTCATGACAAAATGTTTTATTTTAAATGTTAAAAAATCTGGTGAAGGTATAAACCTAACTGTCTAAAAATGTTTTCCTCTATAAGTTTATGAACCGTGTTTCCATCCACTTGCCACATATTTCCATCTGATGAACTAGCAGGTAATTAAACTGATAATGTCTGAAATTAAAATAAAAAAGGCTCCAGGGGCCAGTGGGAGGTGTGGATGTTGCAGTGCTGGACACTTACTTGGCCGGCCACTGTTTGAGTCCTGAACCCAGTGGGTTGCACTTGTACCAGGTGCATGTGCATGTGTGCCCAAAATCCCGAGAGGAGAATACAGGGGAAGGGATTGCGGCATAGCCATCCTCCTTTGTGTGTGTGTGTGTGTGTGTGTGTGTGTGTGTGTGATTTTCCAGTCTTTCTCTCAGACTTTCTCTGTCTCTCTGGTAAATGCATGTGTCCTACAGCAAAAAATCTCTTTAAAAAACCTCTAAAGTGCAGTGATACTGGCATATCTTTATGATTGCTATACCTTATTAGTAGTATTTCAGGAGGTCCTTTTTCAGGAGGTCTTGGAATGTATCCCCCATAGGTGAGAGAGGGATACTATATTAACTTCCTAAGGATAGCTGTTCTAGGAAAGGAATCGAATGAAAAGGAATCTTATCCTTGAAAGACAGACTGAGATTTTCCACACGGATGATTACTAATGACTGAGTAAAGGGAACATCTCACTTGCAACCCAGTTTCATTACAGTGATAGGACATTTATAAAGATTTGCAATAGTAATATTTTTAAATTATTTTATTTAACTTTATTTATTTATTTATTTATTTATTTATTTATTTTAATTTGACCAGAGAGGGACAGAGAGAGAGAGAGAAAGAAAGTGAGAAAGCAAGCCTCCAGGTCTGGAACTCAAACTATGATCGACCATGTGGGAGTCTAGCAGCCCTAACCACCATGCCACCTGCCGGCCCTGCAGCGGTAATAGTAATACCAATACTAGATGTAAAACGTTTGTCAGAA